TTAGACATTTTGTAAAATCTTTGATCTATTTACCTCGTAATATTCTTTCTTTCTTTTTCTTCATTTTTTTCCACAAAAAAATTAATAAAATATTTATTTTAGATTAGGGTTTAACTCTAGATGATCTTTAGCCAGGTTTTTCTGGAAACCTTTTAGAGCAGTGTTGCAGTGGCATCTTCCACTACATAAATGCAGCTTAAGCAAGTGGTTTTACGTTGACTTCAGGTGTTTTGATCAATAATGGGGTCTTATAAAATTCTAGCCTAGTGGGCTTATCGATCTGATCTGAAACGGTCTGTGGGCATAGTCCAATAACTTTTGCATAATTGGGCTGTTAACAAATTGATAGTATTAGCAATGTTGGTGTTGTTATAAAACTAATAAAAACAATATTGAGAAAATATTTGGTGTAAAATGCAGTCCAGCTGACCTCCTCATAAACACAATGACACTTTCTACCTATATCTCTGTTCTTCCTCATTGGTTATAATAACCTCACTAAGTGTGTGACTGATGATCTAATGAAATCAACCAGCCATGGTGTAAAATCAGATCTGTATCTGAATGGCATTCCTAAAAGCAGAACGGTGAAGATGGCACACTTCGGCTTCCACAGTCTATCAGTGACAGACTGAAACCACAACTAACTGGCATTTTGTGTACTGTAAATAAAACAATTGAACTGAAATACGGTCTTGTTTGTTATTTTTAATGTTAAGCGTTTCTCTTAGACATTTTCAGGCAAGACTGAACAACTGATTTTGACACTGTCAAGGTAAAATATATACATACAACATTTAATTTCTGGACAGGTGGTTTTCATACTGCTCCTGGAGAGTCGCTGAGTGTGTCTGTCTGACGGGAGCAGCACAAACCATACTGGCAACCCAGGGAGAGGGCAGCTGCCAGTATTGATGTGCTGCTACTGTCAGGCACACTGAGACATCAAGTGGTCAAAGGGAGGAAAGAGGATGAAAGGAACATGCAAAATATATGCAGATTAATTCAATAGCTTGATGGGTTACACTATCACAGTTAAAAGCAATGCTGATCTCCTAAAATATAGACTAACAAATACAGGATCTAAATTCCCAGCTGTCTGGGAATAACTCGCTGAAGAGGCCACCTAAGCCACACCTGGTGATTCAGTCGTGAATCATTTATTGTGTGTCTGGTCATTTGTAAAAAATATCATTTGTGTTGGAAAAAAAACCCACTGCTTTGTCACATTTTATTCATGATCATTTTAGCATTTTCATTATCATATCATTTTATTCTCACACTACTTATTTAAAAAAAAAATTTAAAAAAAAGCTTTCCTCTGATGCATTTATTACACTGTGATTTATGATACCAGCAGAACACTAGGTGTTTAATGCTGTCATGTTACTGAAGAAACTCCCAGGCTCCCAGTGACAGCACATCATGATTTGGAATTTGCCCTTAGAACATACAAACCATGATGTGCTGCTACAGGGTGCTCTGGGCCAAATAAAAAGATGACGACAGACTCCACCGGTCCTCACTAGGATAAGATTAGGGACAAAATTTATTGTTGGATTACATGTAATATAGAAATGTCTTATGGATATTTAGTGCCAAGTTATCCAAATAAATAAATAAAGACAGATCGAAATTGGATGAGAATGCAATGTGAACAGATCGCTTCTCTTCTTTCTGAAAAATTAAATAAAAAGTTGTTTGACAGCAAAGGGTGACAGCATTACTGCCATTTCTCTAGCACATACAAATATGAGGAAGCTCATGGTCACCCACATCTTTTCATGCCATTCTAATAATGCCCTATGAGACTTTAATAAGTGAGTTATTGTGCACACATGTCCTAAAATGGATGTTGAGGATGAAGACAAAATGGAGGATATAACAAAGGGGGGGAGATGAGGAGAAAAAACTAGTGCCTGTCAAAATGGTTTTATTACCATGGAAATAATTAATTTTTATATATATATATATATAACATTTTTTTTTTTTTTTTACTCTCCCCCCAAAAAACTGCATCTCTAATTTTTAAACTTCTCAGGCTTAATATTGTTAACAAGATTAAGTATCACTTTAATAAAAGTATCTATTAGCATTACACATACAGTACTATAACATTGCATATTTTAATTATCCAATGAAGTAATTGTTGCCAAGAAAAATGTTACATTCATTTAAAGGATTCCAGGGATTAGGAGGAAAATTTGTCCAAATGTAAAAACAAATAAGAGGACAGAAAGAAAAGAATGCTTGTACAATTCATAAGGAATAATTTCCATAACCTATATAAAAGACAAATATTCAGCAAAAGGGGCAAGTATACATTAACAAAAAATAAGGAATTAATAAGATTTATTAAAATAACTTTAAGGTCTGCAGTATATTGAAGAACATAGTAGGATGTAATTATGGAGCGATGTGAGGATGGATAATAGGGGGAGATAGTTAAGAAAAATGAGAGGAACAACTGATTTTAAAAAGTGTGACTACCAGATCAAGATTAGTTTTAAAATGTATTATTGTATTATTCATCTGTGAAAAGCCAGTGGTATTTAAAGCGATGAGGGCATATGACAGATCATTTGTTGTAGTGTGTAAAAGGTAAATGGCAGAAAGATCTTGGCCCATTACTACATTTTACTGCTTATCCCTTTTTCTTTTTTCTTTTTTGTTATTTTGCTTGTTTTTTTTGTTTTTCTTTCATTTAGAAAAAGGAAGATTACACCTACAACACCAGACCAACATAAATGTGGCATCAATTAAGTAGGAAACCCACAATAATGTTTGTTTTACTGAAAAACTAATTTTATTTTTAATTTGCCCAAAACTAAAAACTGACAAAAGTTGAAAGGACTAAAAAAGTATTTGATATTTATAATATCAACTGTTGTGGTACAGAAAAAGAAACGCCAAGTATTTTTGAAGGACTTCAAATTTTTCTTTTAAGTACACCACACCCTATGTAGTGAGTTGAAGTTCTAATGTCAGCAGAAAATCAAAGTTTAATTGCAAAATAATTCATTCTGACTGTTGTAACACAGCAAAACATAATCTTTATTTTTTGCTTAAAGATATTTGAGCCTTCATTATGAAGCTGAAGTTCACAGTAAAAAAAAAAAAAAAAAAAAGGAAGTTTATCAGCAGCAAAATGCAGGCTAAGGTGTGACTAAAATTGTGCTACACAAAAGCCAAACTTTTTCAAAAACGTATGATATTAATTATTTTATATTTAACACTTTTAGTTAAAAAACAATTCCATCTCATAAAGGGCAGCCTATTTAAGGTCTGAGTCAAATGATCACGTCAGCACAGTTGCAGAAGGCATTTGCTTCTGTCTACTTCTGCCCGTCGTTCATCGAGAGAGGGAAGAGAGTGAGAGGGGGTGGGGGGTGTTAGCAAAAGAGAGTGAGAGAGAGAAAATGAGAAAAGGATAGACAGCAAATGGGTGGGAGAGGGAGACCTAAAAGAGAAGCTCACACACTTACATAGACACATACACACCCTGGCCTAACTTTGCTCACCCATTCAAACCAGAGGCCGTTTTGGTTAAGCTTTGAAACGGACACAGGAAAGATTTCACTTACCCTCGATCCCCGTTCTCCAGCATGTTAGGCAACAGGGGAGAGAAAAAGGTGCCTGGTATTCCCAAAGTAACCCGCCGGACTCCCCTCTTCCAGTGTAGTCTGTCTCCTGCACCTGGGGTAGAAAAAAAAAAAAAAGTAATTCCTCAACTTAAATCAATGAAGTTGTTTTTGTATTCAAAAAAGCCAAGCAAAGTACCTGAAAAAGACTTTTTCATTCTTTCAGAAAACTTGATTAAAGTCACAAAGTAGTTCTCCCACCTCAAATATTTTAATTCTTCACAAATCTACAGCTAAATCTACACTTAAAACAGTTTGGCTGCTTTCAAAAAATTGTAGAAACAGAACTAAAAAGGAAAACAAACCCACACATGCACTTATCAATGGGAATCCCAAGTCTTAATTTCAGGTCAAAAATACACCCATTCGTCTGAGCTTGGGGCTCCCATTCCAGATTGGGGGGTGGGGTTCCAAGAGTCAAATAAGTGCCTAAACCTTTTGTCCACCAGCACCTATTTTCAGCCCTTAAACCCCTTTCTCTCCCTATTCACCTTCAGACCAGCAGTCCAGTGCAGTGTGCAGCCTCTGCTTAGCTGTAGCTAGTGAGGCTGCCTGAGGAACTTGGTAGGCATAAAAAGCAGGGGTTGTAGCCTTTTTCCCGGGGCATCAGTTTCTACAATTAAAATTAACATTTTCGGGGGACAGGAAAAATCCCAAAAAAAATCAGTGCATCACCCTGGGGTCCCCTTAGAAGAGTGTGAAGTTTGAAGACCGTCAAGACTACCATTTCTGAGGAAAAAATTAATTTCTAGGGCTTAGTGTCTGGGGCGCGTCAGTGCTAGCAGCTCTCGCTTGCTTGATTTCTTGTAGCTTTGCCAAAGCATTCACACAGCCAACGGAGAAAAAGGGAGGGAGGGGGGGAACAAAAGAAGGAGAAGGCTCAGCTGCAAAGACGCACAGAAAGGGGGATATGAAACAAGGAAAAGTGTTATGCGTTCGTGGTGTATTTTTGTATTAAACATTCACCACAAACTCCAAACTCAAGCGACCGCACAGGGGGTGTTTCGAGTCTAAATGCATTGTCCAAAAAGAAAGAAAAAACGAGACTTTATATTCTCACCATTAGTCTATTATCCATTGAAAAAAAACACAAAAAAAAAACAAAGCAGGAACAGCAAAAACAGATGTCAAGAGTTTGTCAAAGTTTTTAGACTTTACTCTTTATGCTCTCAATGTGGCCGGATTTTATGCAGGGTCTCTATGGCTTTTCTGTGTAGTACAAGGCTGGCTACAAAGAGTGGAGAATATGTTGATCTGGTTCTACAGATAGTTTTACGGAGTAGCACAAACATGGTCCAATAGTACACACACACACACACACACACACACACACACACACACACACACACACACACACACACACACA